TAAGGATTATGGATGAGAAGAATCCTATTTTTTAATTACTACCTCCGTCCCTGAGTATTTGTCCAGTTTTGACTTTTCCGACTAATTGTTTTCAATATTTGACTTAGAATTAAATAAAATATATATTATATATTAAGTATATAAAAAATATTTTGAAAATGGATGATATAATAAATCTAATAAAACTAATTTTGTATCAATATCTAATACCGTTTTTATTTAATTTGAGGTCAAAATTTACCAATTTTGACAAAAAAAGTCAAAAGTTGACAAATACTCAGGGACAGAGGAAGTATATAATTATAAGGTCGGTAATTTAGGTTTTTTAAATTAATGTGAGGAAAAAAAATCATTGGATCACTAATACTTTTGTATTAATATATTTTCGAATTTATACTGCGATAAAAATTATAAATTTGTAAAAATACATTAAACATAGATCATTTATATTTGACCTTTAAATAATATGTCAAATTTAAATCAAGATCCACATTATAGAATCGAAAAAAATTCCGTCCAAACCCGTGCCATACCCGTGCATGGCACGGGTAGAAATACTAGTAAACAAAAGATCTTGAGATTTTTGAATAGTGAAGTGTGTAAATTATTTAGGATGGAAGGAGTATAATTAAAAATTACACAAAAAATTATACAAAAAAGTGATTATATGTGTTTTTTTATTTTATCATCATATGCAAATAAAAGTATTTTTCTTTTTAGTAAACACGGAGGTGTTTCCCACTCATCTTGAATTTTTACAGCACTTTGGTCAGAGATTCTTCAGAAGTACTGCCGCTGCCTTTGTTTTATTGGTGGGTGTTTGGAATTGCTTAAATTTGTGGAAAAGTGACTCGTCATAATTTTTATCCAGAATCTTAAACTACGCAATTACAATTTTCAATTAAGTTTTGTTCACTTGCTAACTTTAGTTTGATTAAGTTAAAATTTTACATCTTTTTACTTTTTTAGTTAGAAATGAAAATACAACTAATTTTAATTATTTTAAACTAAATTAAAATCTGTTCAATTTACTTATCTAATTCTCTTAAATCATCGCCAATGAAAAATATTTGGAGATCAATTACTTAATCGAATCTTGGGAGCACTTGAAAGGATTCGTTGAATGGGACAAAAAGTAGAGGATTTTAAATCATTCCGTAGCGTGGTACTTCTGATTCCTTAATGCTACTTTACCTTTTCACAGTTCACACTGGTTTACCTTTTATAGATATACCACTTTGTAAATAAAATGATTTCAAAATTCGTAGAATTTTACCTCGTAATTTCCAATTTGTAATCAAAATTAGGACGTGGGAGTACTAGTTTGTAGTATGTACAATGACCCAATATGAACTACAAATTACTCCCTTTTCTTTGTAAAAGCATTCTATTGGTTGAAAATGATGCAAATGAAAGGAAAATAGTATGTCCTATAAAAAATTTTCTAAATGTGGAAAGTGATTTTTTTTGGACAAACTGAAAAAGAAAAAATATTTTAAAGAATGATGGGAATAATTTTCTTATAACAATACCAGTGATGATGCTGGACAAGGGAAGTGTGAAAATAATTTAGTCAAACTTTGGAATTGGTTAAAATCATTGAGAGTTGCTAAAGTTATGGGTAAAACAATTAGTTACTCAGCAATTCAATTATACAAATAATATTGTTAACCTTTTTTTTAATAAAATTGAAATATGGAGTACATAGAGGGTGTTTGGCACTGTATTGATTTTTAAAATTTAGTTTCTGCTTTAAGTGGTTATTATTTTATTCTCTTTGGCATAACGACTTATGCTTTTCTTTACCATCATTTTGTACATAGAATATCATTTCAGAGAAATAGATATATATTGTTTCCGCTTTAAGTTTTTGTGAAAATCACTTTATCTATAAGTTAATCACTTTCAAACACACTCATAGTATATAAAAACAAACTTAAAAGTTGTCATTTTCATTTAATAGCAGGCGTGGTAATTGATAGTGCACAATGACATCGTTTGATCCATGTAGCGGAGACCTCACGTAGTGCACAATAAATTATATATTTTCATTATGCGGAAACTTTAGTTTTTCATTGCTAATTTTGATGCATCATTATAATCATATTAATTACTCCGTAATGAATAATCGCTTTTGAGGCATGAAGCCTTTTTGTTTGGTGGCCTGGTGGGTTGGCCCTTGGACCAGCGCTGCATAAACTGGCAATCATCAGAGTTAAGGGTAACAATATGTGTTCAAATTTATTAAAACAAAAGTGAAATTTGCAGTGTTAAGAATGTGTCCTACCCCCCCTACAATTAAGGGGGAAAAGGTCTAGCAATTTGAGGGCAAATCATCTCCATTTTTCTATATCCATTATTATCTCTCTATTCCTTTTTTCTCTTTATCTTCTCTTTCCTACGTAGACTCTACCCCATGGCACATACTCTCTTTTTTCCCCTCTTTCTTTATCTCTCCCACTCGACCTTCCTTTTCCGCAGATGATTTTTTTCTTCAGGAAATGTGGCATTTGTTAACTGTTGCAGTTTATTCTCTCTGTATTGTTTAATGGCTCTTTTGTTTAAAATAATGGGTCTCATGTAGGTGTCGTATGAAATTCACTTTAATACTTAGCTTTACTATTTTGGAATTTCTATTCAACAGTGGCTTAAGTTAAACAACAGTAGCTTATATAACTTCAGAGCTAGTAGTATGTACATTTAACAAAATTATTCAAAATGTTAACCTTAGTTCCAACTTCCAAACGCTGTTTCCAAAGGATGACCTAGTCATTGTAGAGGAAAAAGAAATAATATGGACCACAGAATGTTTTTTGTAAAAAAAAGAAGCAAGCGTGTGAAAACTTTGGGACAACTCAAATAAGAAAGTAGGAAACTAATTATTGGACTTAGTGAGTATCATAGGAGAAAGATGAAGTTTATTTTGGAACAGATGAAAAGATAATGTGAAATTTATTTAGGAGTGTTGTTTTTCCATGTGGACTGTGGACATTTATTTACATCATCACTTTACTGAATAAGATAATACAATCACGGAGTGATAAGTGTACTGTAGCATTTATAATAATTTTCAACTTTAGACTTTATTTGAAGCATGCTGTTTAGATATACTCCTATAATCCTATTAGATGTTATCCTCTCTTTCTTTACCTCCCTCTGTTCATTCATCTATTCATTCTTTCTTTCTTTCTTTTCCATCTGTTTACACCCACTTTTTGAAACTTTAATAAGCATGTAGGGCCATATTGGACTAAATCTAAGAATTTAGGATGCTGCTTTTCTCTTTTTTGCCAGACATGCTATGATTATATTTAGATAATATCATCCCCTTTTATTGGCCTTTACCCCTGATTTTTGGTATGGCCAATTTTGTGAATATGGTACAGATGGAGGATTATCACTCCGGTCACCAGCCCGTGGTTACTGCAAGCCGGAGTAAATTGGGTCGTACTTTTGCCAAGGTTATGCACATTCGAGCCATGCCTGGTGATGCTAATGGAAATCAACGATCCAAGAAGTTCCACGAAAAAGTGAAAACTGATGTAGTTAAGAAAGATTTCCTGAAGCAGCTGCAGTTTAACACTTGGGATGATGAAGATGAAACACTAAGGGAGAAAGTGACAATAGAAGCCTTTACTGCCAAACTGTTTGCTTGTATCTCGGCTATAAAAGCAGCGTACGCCCAGTTGCAATATGCCCAGTCTCCTTATGACCCTGATGCGATTCATGCAGCAGACCAGATGGTGGTGTCTGAGTTGAAGTGTTTGTCTGAACTGAAACAATGCTACTTGAAGAAACAGATTGAGGATCCTTCACCTGATAGGACACTGGTTTTGTCTGAAATCAAGGAGCAGAATTGCATCCTCAAAATTTACGAAATCAAAGGAAAGAAGCTGGAGTCTCAGGTAAGACTCAAGGATTCGGAGATCACGTTCTTGAGGGAGAAACTGGAAGAAGCGAAAAAGGAAAACAAAATGATGGAGAAGAGATTGAACTCAAGCGGGCAATTATCCGTTCCCGACATTCTTAACTTCTCGGGATTGAACCCCAGCCATTTAATCGCGGCGCTTCGCCAGGCAATGAAATCAATTCGGAGCTTTGTGAGGGTCCTTGTCAAGGAGATGGAATTCGCAGGGTGGGATTTAGATGTGGCAGCCAATGCGATCGTGCCCGGTTTAACTTTCTGGCAAGCAAACCACAAATGCTACGCATTCGAATCCTTTGTCTGCAGAGAGATGTTTGATGGTTTCAATCACCCCAACTTCTCCATTCAACCCCAAGCCCACCAGGTGGAAACCAGAACCAGACACAAACTATGGTTCTTTGACGGATTCGAGGAGTTGAAGCCCGTGAAGGCAACCGATTACCTAGTGTGGAAACCAGACTCAGAATTCGCAAAGTTCTGCCGCAACAAGTACTTGCGGCTCGTCCACACAAGAATGGAACAGTCCCTGTTTGGCAATTTGGACCAGAGGAACTCGGTGAAATCGGGCGAGTGCCCGGAGACTTGTTTCTTCTCCACATTTGCCGAAATGGCAAAGCGCGTTTGGCTCCTGCACTGCCTGGCCTTCTCTTTTGATCCAGAGGCTTCCATCTTTCAAGCGAGCCGGGGAAGCCGGTTTTCGGAAGTGTACATGGAGAGCGTGAGCGACGAGGCATTCCTGTTTTCATCGGACCGGACGCCCGAAACCGAACCCCGGGTGGCTTTCACCGTGGTTCCTGGGTTCATGGTAGGTAAAAGTGTTGTTCAATCTCAAGTGTACCTTCGTTGATCCACCAATAATAATAATAATAATAACAATAATACTATATAGTAGCCCCCACTTGAATGTCATTTGTCAATCACCAGTTCAAGTCGGCCAAAGTGGGACCCAGATGTAGGGACTCATTTATTCCCTTCCCTGTACGCGTGTTGACGAACCGAGCCTATGCACTGGAATACTACGGAGTATTATTGTTATTATTATTAGGGTACTGACAGACAATTTCTTGAGTTTCCTGCACCCCAAAAAAAAAACCCTCATCCCAAAGGGTCCTCTCAGGGCCGTGATCTTTAGAAAGTTTTTCTTATAATGCGAGGCTAGCTAGTAGTAGTGTCAGGAATCTCAGCTGTATATTGTATGATGATTATTTCCATAAAAACTTGTTTTGCCTCAAATCCTCCTCAATTCGATCTCTAATATTCCCGTCTCAATTTATATTTTCTTTCTTTTCCTGATTTCGAATATAACGTAACGTTTTGATTGTTATTAATTGTAAATGTACGTATACTCCGTGTATAAAAAATGAGTACTCCCTCCGATTTCTAAAAAATTGTTACAGTTTGACATTTTAGTTAAAATATGACAACTTTTGACTACAAATTAAATATAGAGAGAAAAACCAAATTAGGACTAAAATATTGAAAATATATTAAAATAGGATTTCTATTTTTTATTTCTAAAATAGGACTTAAAATGCATTTACAATACTAACTATGGTCATGTACATTACCAAAAAGTATATTGTAATGTGCACATGTACAATGTCACATAGTGCGAAATTCTATTTCGAAAAAAAAAATGAAAGTCTTGTTTTGGTATTTTTCTTTATTTAGGGTAATTTCTATTAAATATAATTTAAATTAATTAAACATTCCTATAAAAATTTGATATTTCAAAAATATATTATAAAATATATCTAATTTTACTATATTTACATTATAACTAAATCTACTTTTTTCATATTTTGCAGTTAAAGGGTGATACAGTTTGACTAAAAAAGTCAAACTATGACAATCTTATAGTGAGGGAGAAAGTATTAAATTTCAAATTAAATTTAATGATGTTAAATTTAAATGTACTTTATCCGTGGAATTTGGTCTGGGTTTTGTGAATTTTGATTAAAAAAACAGAAATATGTAAAAAAATAAATTTGGGGTTGGGGGGGGGGGGGGATAGAGTATGTTTTGTTATGGATATGGAGTACTAATTTCAGCCTTCTCCTTTAGTTTTTTAAAAAAGTTAAAGTTAATTCACGCCATCAACAAATATTTACTACGTATATTCCTCGGGCAAACTAGTACACGGTTAACTTATATATTTACTATTCATTGGTTAATCTTTATCCTTTTCTTTTATCTTTTTTGTTACTTACTCCATTCGTCCCGGAAAACATGGGAGTTTTGATTTTGAAGAGAGATTTAAGAGGAGTGTATTTTGGTATTGAATTTCCAAAAATATCATTTGATGTGATGTGTAAAAGTATTATTTGATGAATAGATTATTAATAAAAAAGTATGATGTGATAGATAGGGTATGAAAAAGTAAGGGGTAAAAGTGACTTTTTAATAGAAATGAGAAGTGTTTTTTGGGACGGATGAAAAAAGAAAGGAGAAAGATTTTCAGGGACGGAGGGAGTATTTGATATTCCATCAGTGTGAATTTAAATTATTTGTTTATTATTAACAAAGTCAGACTTTAACCACGTTCTTTACACATTTTTGCTACTTATTAGATAAAATGATATAACACTTTCATTTATTTTTTGTAAAACTTCTGATGTAGATTTAAATATATAAATTTTATTTTTTAATTTCATACCAATCTTCAGAACAGTTGAATTGAAAATAATTTCAATCAAAACCCATAAACAACATCATATGATTTAAATTGAGACGAAGAGAGTACTTTGTAAAATTTCATAGTCATGCTACATCATTTTTCGTACAACTTTTAGTATAGTTTCCAGAATCACCAGTTCCGGTACCGCCACCCCTTGTTACCGCTACCGTCACTGGATCGGAAGGCTTGCGATTCTCATCCTTCTTTCCTTTTTTTGGCATATGATCTGATCTTTCTTTCTTTTTTTGGAGCCAGCGGTCTGATTGTGCGGTTGAAGCCCGCTGATTGAAGGATTTGAAGCCATACGATCTGATTGTTAATATACTCCATTTTTCACTTGTTAAAATAATACTACCTCCGTCTTAGATCATTTGTCCACTTTCATTTTTACACACCATCCAATACACTTCTTTAATCCATTTTATCTTGTAATTTGTATATTAAAAAATTATAGAAATTATATATTAATAATCTATATGTTAAGACAAATCAAACAAGATCACACATGACTATGTTCAGCTTACACATTGAGAGAACTTGATGAGTCAAAGTACTTAGATGAACAGTTCCAAAAGTCAAAAGTGGACGAATATAGCGGGACGGAGGGAGTACTCAATTATGACATGGTGTTGACATGTTAAAAAAATGCCAAATGGACATGCCAAACATCAAATTCTTGTGAAGAGGAGTCTCGAATATTATATTAAAAGATTTTTGTGATGAGGAGTCTCAAATATTATATTAAAAGATTGATTTGAGAGAATGATAAAATTTGCAAAAAAGACTCTTTTCCACAATATACTAAGAGTAAATTTCCAAAATAATCCTTTGTAATAAGGGGTTTTCCTAAATTAGTCCTCTATAAGTTTTAATTACCTACGTGGTCCTCTATAATTGAGATTTATTCTCAAAATAGTCCTTTGTAATAAGGTGTTTTTCCAAATCAGTCCTTAATAAGTTTTAATTACTTATGTGGTCCTCTATAATTGAGATTTATTCCCAAGATGGTCCTTCGTAAATAATGTTACTGAAATGAGGATTAATTGAGAGTATTTTTTCTATGCTAAATTTAGAATTAAATCTTAAAATAATCATTTATAATGAAGTGTTTTCCCGAAATGGTTTTTCTAATTAAAGATGTGTATTTGATTTGAAATTTAAAAGATTTTTTTAAGTTTTAAATAATTCATAAATTATTTATGAGTAAATTCTCAAAATGGTTCTTGGTAATAAGATGTTTTCTTAAATCAGTCCTCAAATGAGGATTAATTGGGGGATATTTTGGTATTTTGATCATCCAAATTTAAAGTATATATTCTCGAAACAATCATTTTCTGTACAACTAAATGTAAAATTTAAAAAATACATCGGCGATAAATAATTTATGAATTATTTAAAACTTAAAAAAAAAATTAAATTTCAAATCAAATACACATCTTTAATTAGAAAAAAACCATTTTGGGAAAGCACTTCATTATAAACGATTATTTTAAGAATTAATTCTAAATTTAGCGGATAGAAAATACACTCAATTAATCCTCATTTGAGTAATATTATTTACGAACGACCATCATGAGAATAAATCTCAATTATAGAGAACCACGTAGGTAATTACGGAGTAAAACTTATTGAGAATTGATTTGGGAAAATAGACTATTTTGAGAATAAATCTCAATTATAGAGGATCACGTAGGCAATTAAAATTTATTGAAGATAATTTGGGAAAACACCTTATTATAAAAGACTATTTTGGAAATTTACTCATATACTAGTTACAAACCAACCCAAAAAAATGAGATTTTACTCGGTATATTTTTTTTTGCGGCCAATTACAATTTACAAATAACAAAACAACCTCCCGCTCTTTTCAGTCTTGTAAAACCGTGGCCCTCCCCCTCAGCGCAGAACCCTTATCACAGTACTTCCCGGCGAACTGCGGCGAGTAGATATATTGAGCTGTAAGAGTTAAGAAAATGAGGGATGAAGAAATCGACAGGCTAAGAGGAGTGGTGAGGGACTGCGTCAGCAAGCACTTGTACTCGTCGGCGGTCTTCTTCGCCGATAAAGTGGCTGCGATGACTTCGGACCCCACCGACATCTATATGCAGGCGCAAGCTCTCTACATTGGCGGCCATTACCGCCGTTCTTTCCACCTCCTCAATTCTTCCCAAATGCTTAACCGCGACCTGCGATTCCGGTATCTTGCTGCCAAGTGCCTGGTACCTGCGCTATTCCTCCTCCAAATTTATCCGGAATTTTCACAATTCTCACAATTCTTATGTGTCTGGAAGTGACTTATATTGGCGTGCCTCTAAATGCAGGAAACAATGAGTAAATTTGTTTTCTTTACTCCTTGTTAGGGTTACAGGAATTAAATGATCCCTATTTTGCTGTTTCTAACTCAACTTGACAAGAGCAAATAATTATATAACTTTCTGTACTGTGTACCTTTGATAGCTTAATTAAGCTAGTATTCTCCTGTGTATCTCTCAGTGTTAGGTAAGACAAAAATGGCTGCCATGCCTGAATATAGTGGTGGTTTTTGTTCCAGCCAACATTAGAATTTTGTGAAGGATGGAGGTTTATCGCAGAAATGTTATCCTTATGCCATCTGTCATTGGTCATTACCGACCAATTTTTTTTGGGGTATGGATAGTCATACATGTTTGGTGCTGGTCTAGTCTGTTTTGACTTTTAGATTAGAATTTCCAGCCATCATATTGGGTTTTAGATCATTCAACTTGAATCCTAATTATCAATTCACTAATGGTTAATTCTTATGATCTCTACATAAATTGAACCCATAATTACGATGCAAGTAACAACACCTGTCATCTTGTTGCTTGCATGATTAATTCATGTGTGGAAGGAAATTGTCAGATGGTTGATGAATTGTTATCTTAAAGTCCAGGTTATTGGCTACTTAAACATCCTTGTTATTGAATCTTGTATTAATCAAATTCATTTTGACTAGCTTTATTCTGTCTATTGTACGTAAGAAAATTCTTGTGCATTTATCATTTTGCTTGATAAGGTCTTAAAAATAAAATATTTGAAAATGTTCAATTTTCTAGTTGAAGTTCTATATCCATTTTCTTGTGCTTTCATCTTAATCTTGGTACCATAGTTCTGCCGTTTTCCAAGCTTTCATCAATATTGTCCGAGTAACACAATGAAGATGATAACCCAATGCAATGGGCTTCCCATCATCGTCAGGGATAACCGGATTTAATTTCTTTGACAAATGAACTTGATTCAGTTGCTTATGAAGAGAATGCTTGAATTGACTGCATAACTAATATTGATGTAATTGTGATACGTGATTCAAGATTTCAAAATCTTATGAATATTTGTAATGTCTTCTCCTTTGCTTTTATGAGTTTCTATTCTTGCAGGGGCAACTGAAAGAGTGGGAACAGTGTCTACATATTCTTGGTAATGTCAAGGTGGATGAACATGGAAATGTTACTGCACTTAGTGATTGTAGTAGCATGAACCTTGACAAGGATGGTGAAGATCGTGAAATCAATGTATGTTTTACTCTGTCTCTCTCTCTCTCTCTCTCTCTCTCTCGGGTCACCATTGTATTTTGTTTGTTTGAAAGGAAACTTTGTGTCTGACAATTGTAATCTTCTCAGTTACATACTCTCTCAGTTATACAGTTCATGTAGTGTTTTTATTATGGTAGATTTTGTCTGCAATATGCTTCTTGAGGGGCAAGGCATCTGAAGCATTGGAGAATCGTGCACAAGCTACACTATGGTAGGTATAGTTGTTTTTGTAATACTTTTATAGAACAATAATAACAAAAAAACCAAGTATAATCCCAACTCTGATGCGCCAAGTTGTACTCAACGTCTCAACCTTACCCCTATAATAACAGGGAGTCAGGAGGTTGTTTCTTTTAAACCCGCCTAATTCTTCATGTATAGTAAGAAGCATGAGAAGTTTACTCTGCCATTTTGATTTAGTCCATTACTTATGCGAAGCTAATAAATTGCCAAAAATGACTCTCATAGCTCCATTGGCAATGGACACCAATACTTTTATAGAGAGTACTTGTTTGAAATTTTTCGTAGGTTCTCTATTTCCAACTCACATCTATTCATGATTATTGTAGTTTCTTCATTTTCTAGATGTATAACATGCATACACACATTGCTGTACATATATATATATGTGTGTGTGTGTGTGTGAATTTAATTTTAACCAATGTTCTATCCTCTTTCTGCAAAAACAACACAAACACGAGGGGGCCCAATTAAACAGTCCAAACCACCTAATGAAAATTAATGTACAGCATATATTTACATTTTATTGGGAGGAAGTAAACCTTTACTCAAATATTTCTCTTATGCAGGTACAAAGCTGCCATCAAAGCTGATCCTCTGTGTTATGAAGTATGCAGTCTTATTTGTTATAGATTATGTGATTATTGCCTTTTTTAAATTTGCATTGGTGTGTTTTCCAACTGTGATCCAACTTGGTTGTTGTTTTTTCCTTGACTGAAAGGAATATCCTGGAATATTTTTCCTCTAAATCAAGCGAATAGATATAAATTTTAATCTATCTTTTTAAGTTTCTTTTCCCCTTTTACAGGCTCTGGCATGCCTTGTAGAGAATCATATGCTCACTTGTGATGAAGGTAACAATCGGTTAACCTATATTACACTCTAATTAATTGCAGGGCTTGGGTGCTGAAAAATAAAGTATAAATTTATAAGTGCTTTTGAACTGCAGACATATATGAGTATATTAGGAAGTCACTTTGAGACTTCAGTAGTCCAGTTCACTGGGAATAGTATTCATAAAATTGTGTTTGCTTTGCTCATGAATCATGAAGAGGTCTATTTACTACTCACTAATTTTAATTGCTGCTTTTCATCAGAGGCTAGCCTACTCTTGTCATTGCAGTTTAGTTCTGAAGATGGGTGGCTCTCTTCTTTTTATTCTTGCATGATAAAGAAGGTAAGAAGTTCATATAGATTATGTTATTTGCTGTGCGGGCGGTCCTATAATGTCTTCATGAATTCTGGTGATCCGTTGAAAATTGTTGTTTTTAAACATAAAAATCACTAATTTTCAATCTGCAGCATGGTTAATGTGAAAAAATAATTATTTATAATTATGTTTTGCAGTATGATAATGAGAATATAGTGGAAGGCAAATTTAGGGAACTAGAACGTGATGGACCTGGTATAAAAACTTTGGACAAATCTGTAATGTGTACACTCAAGACAAATACTGATCTTTTGGCATGCAAAGCTGAGTATTATCATCAGTGCGGCGAATATCAAAAATGTTTTGAACTAACATCCACGTAAGTTTGAATTTATTTGGATGAGTACAATTAACATTTTACTTGGTTTTCTAATTAGTGTTGCCTTGCTGACCCTTGCCTCATAATCACAATGTAACTCAGATTACTCGAGAAGGATCCTTTCCATTATAAGTCTATGCTAGTGCATTTGGCTGCAGTAATGGAACTGGGGAACTCAAATGAGCTGTATCTCATGGCATCCAACTTAGTCAAGGACTACCCTCAGCAGTGAGTATGCATCAATACTGTTATTTTTAATTGAACTTTGAGTCATGAGTCAACATACGATCAGTTATTTTAATTCTGTAGTTCTCTACATAACTAGAATGCTACATTTATGGGGCGTTTGGAAAAGAAATTTTTCAAGAGGTTCTGTTTTAAAAAGAGCTTTTTGGTATAAAGGACAACGGTAAGAAGTGTTTGATAAAAGAGTTCTGTGAGAGGACTGAGAGCATATATGTTTTTCAAGTTTTTGGAGCAGCTGTTTAGAGATTTTTGTAGAACCTGTTTCTAAAGCATGGTTTACAAAAAAAACATGTCTTAAATTTTTTTCGAACAACAATCTGAAGACAGACAGAAAAGCTAAAACAAACCTCTAATGGCTAACAAGTTGCTTAAATTGCCATCATCTTTTCGAGTAGTGATTGTGATGTGATCCTTGCTTCTACCCTCTTCACATCACTAAGGCACATCATCTTTACATGGCTCGAAGGCTTAGTTCAGCATAATGTGGGTGCTAACTGGGACACACGAGTTTCCTCACACTCACTTATTACTGAGTACTTAAGAAAAAATAAAGCAGCATTAGCATCTTATTACCATCTTTGCCATGGCTCTTTGCATTCATATGTTGATTACACATTTCTTTTTCTATTTGGTCTGTTTTTAGGCCAGTACTATTTATACAATGCCATTACTTCAATGCCCGTAACTTCTGTGATAGCAAAAAAACCTTCAGCCTTCAGGGGATTTTTAGCAAACGTGTCAAAGACATCTTTGCCACACATTTTCCATTTAAAATAATGTAATTGTTGTGGTCTGTTGTCTATTTTCTTGCTTTTTTGACTCTTTTCAACTCACCAGCGTGCTTTTTAATCTAGGGCTTTTCCATGGTTTGCAGTTGGTTGCTACTACTATTGTATAAAAAAGTTTGACCAAGCACGCCGTTATTATAGGTATTCGTTTTATCTACCTAGATGTTATTTTTCATCAAATTAATTCTATGTAGGGTCTGTCCTGCCACTAGATTGAAAGCAATGTGGGTGTCCGAAGAATTCAAACTCATAATCCATGTTGAATTTTAAAAGCTTAGTACTTGGGCATCATTAGGTGTTTAGAGGTCTTATTCAAGTTTGACCGCTTTAATAACAGAAATACTATTGGATGTAGTTTAAGCAAAATTCGTTATGATTCATTGTCAATTTATCCACTATTTTTGTTCTCCAAACAATTATTATTATTGGTTTTGGCAGCAAGGCCACCAGTCTGGATGCAGCATTTGCTCCAGCATGGATAGGATGTGGGAATGCTCATGCAGCTCGAGAAGAGGGAGATCAAGCAATGTCAGCCTACCGTACTGCTGCTCGCTTATTTCCCGGGTAATCTCACTAATCGGTTAGAATATGAGCTGTCCCCTCACCCATAGAGAGAATGTTGTGCACATGTTTGCGTGTGTGTGTGTGTGTCTGTGTGCGCACTCGTGCGCGTGCAAATCATGAAAAAGTTTAATGTATGGTTTACAATGAATCTATAAAGTATGTATTGATTTCAGCCATGTAGATCATACTCGTACAAACATTTGATTGATAGTCTTTCATCTCCATAAGGTGACAAGAAGAGTTTATGGTGATATATGCAGTAGTCATGGACTCCTCACTCAAGGACCCCGATATCTTTTATTCCCTCTGCCCCACTAAGGCCGTGGCAAGGGAAAGTGATATGCAATATGCAAATCAAGAAAAAGTTGAATATATGGTTTATACAAAAATAACCCTGGTGTAGGGTCTGGGAGGGTGTGTGTACGCAGACCTTGCCCCTACTCCAAAGTAGAGGTTGTTTCCAAGAGGAATGTATGGTTTATAATGAATCTAAGAGGTATGTGTTGCTTTCAGCAACATAAATCATACTCGTACAAACTATTGTAAGAGGCAAACATTTTGGGACGAGCCGACGAGCCAAAAAGGCTCGAAATGAAAAAAAGAGGACAGTGGTTCAGACGAAGTATCTTAGTATCTTACACCTACCCTACATCACAAATGATTAAAAAAAGGAACACGTACATTAGGGGAAGGCTATATGTTTATCTTAGTAAAAAACCAACTTAGATGGATATTGACATATTTTTTTGGAGGAAGTATATTGGCATATGGAATGCTAGTTTACCAAATTAGTAATATGGATATTCCATGTCATTTATTATTCAAACTGATTTGTAGAATGTTTTTTATGTTATGTTTTTGTTTTTGTTTTTTGGCTTTTGGTGTTTGTCGTTTGAATTTTGATATTTTTTAATTTCAGTTGTCATTTGCCATCTTTATACATTGGAATGGAGTATATGAGAACCCACAGCTTCAAACTTGCTGAGCAGGTAATTATCATAAACTTATGAATTTTAACATCTTCACAGGCTTTACATACAGAGCATTTGTTTTCGCTTAAAGTTATCCTCTATTTATAGTATCCTTTTATAAATCTATTGCTGTAATAACTAATAAATCGTTTCCTCAGTTTTTCATGCAGGCAAAGGAAAAATGCCCCTTTGATCCACTTGTATACAATGAACTTGGAGTAGTTGCTTATCATATGAATGAGTATGGACCTTAAATTTGTTCACGTGTGCACTCCTTGGGAATTTTTGGAAAAATAGATCATTGATGACCAAATTGAAACATCTGAGTTTAGGTTCTTTGTGAAAAGATTTGCTTTGTTACAGTTTCTTCCTGAATAAAAAGAGATTGATTTGTGTATAAATAATTGCCAGTTTTTATTTTATATTACAAAAGTTACTTGCATGATATATGTATAATAAACCAAAATTACTTATAGTGATCATATTATTTTTTATAAACTGTAACAGAAAACTGGAAAAGCTTCTGTGAAGTTTTAATATTTGGCCTGTATTTTTTATTTAAACCTGAAAACTAAAACCCACCCCGAACGAGGTATTCAGTCATATCTTAATGGGAATTAGGTTCTGATTTGTTTGTTTTTCAATTTTGCCATAAATTGCATTTGTTAAAAACCTCACTTAACAAATGTCTTCTATTGTTGCGATAACATGATTGTTTCCTTCTTTTTTCTGGCTGACAATTTCAGGTATACTAAGGCTGTCGATTGGTTCAAAAAGACGTTGGCTCAGATCTCATCTAGCTCGAGTGAGGTGTGGGAACCAACTGTAGTCAATCTTGCTCATGCATTGAGAAAATTGCAGTATGTGAACGTCTCTCTACTTTATTATTCCTATCTGGAAGCTTTTAAGTATATTGTTCTCTAGTTGGTTCTACAAAGATCAAGTTAATATTAAAATTTTTCCATTTAAAATCCGAAGTTGCCTTAATATTTTCAAGCTCTTGCTCTGTCTGTCATCACAATATGATTCTCTCTCCAGTGGGCATTCTTCTAAAACTTGTCTTGTTTTTAATCCCCATTAACTGGTTTCAAGTTTCTTCTCCTTTTTTTTCCCAGGTTGTACGATGAGGCAATTACATACTATAAAAAAGCTCTTGCAATGTCAACAACAAGTTTAAGTACTTACGCAGGACTAGCCTATACTTATCACCTGAAGGTAACTGCAAATGCTCCAACCTATGCATGAAAAGGAATCTCATTAGACATTTTGAATGCCACATGTTTCACGGTTGCTCACTCTTTCCTTCATGCAGGGAAAGTTTACTAAAGCAATCACTTACTACCACAAGGTAGGTTGTATCTTGATTAGCTTTTTCTTTTGTCTTAGTCTGTTATTTTCAATTCAATCTATTTAAAAATTGGTGTAGAATAACATTTTTATATATATATTTTAAAACTTCATAAAAATTTGTACAAAACAAGAGGTGACATGACTTATTTCATCAAATAATCAATTAAGAGCCTGTTTGGGAATAGCGTTAGCGATTAGCGTTAGCGTTTTGAAAAGGCTATCTACGGACAGCGTTTAGCGTTAGCGTTTTCAAAGTAATCTGCACCGTTGAAATTTTATCTAAAACGCTGACGCTAATCTCTAACGCTATTCCCAAACAGGCCTGAAAAAATGTAAGGAAAGCACATATAGTTTGACCTCCATTTATTTCGGGGTGGAAGGAGTAATTCATACTACTATTTGTGTTGTCTTCATCATCCACACCACGTTATGCCAACTATGTTAGGGTCGGTACCAATGTTCTAAAAGCACTTGGTGGCCGGCGCTCTCATCTTAGATTAGTTTCATTTAATGTTTGTTTAATGCAGGCTTTATCGCTCAATCCAACTCATAAATTCTGCACTGAAATGTTGACACTGGCTCTAGCTGATGAATGCCATTACGACGCTGATCCAAGACTGGAATTCCACCATGAATTATAATGACCTGTATATTTAGATTAGAAGCCAAATCTCTGTGTCGTAGTTTATTTGTAGCTGTTGAGATTTATGATTGTGATAGGCGTATATGGTGCTCCTCAATTATATCAAAGTAAAACTCACGAGTTTTTCCTGAGTCTCTTTGCCATATGTTGCCATACAGAGTTGGATATCTGGCTAAATTTTGTTTGTATGAATGTGTTACCTAATGCAATGAGCATTGCAGGTGGACTAGATCAACGTGTTTGCCATTTTAATTCCGAGTTGTAATGTAATGAGCATTAAGACGTGCACTAAACTTTATTTAATCCCCAAAACTTATATGCGACTGAGAGTGTTTCTACAGGAAAAGAACGTGTGCTGAATAGAATAATCACTGAGCAGTTGATTGATCTAAGTTGAGTAAAAAAGGTCGACATGGAAAGAGATAATAAGACAATCACGATTAGGTAGGAAAACTCGAAGCTTGTCCACATTATGGTGTAAACTAATTAGAGAACAAAATTGGTTAGGTTTGGTTGACACTCGACGTTGACATTGGCTCCAAATGAAGCTTCTATTATGCTTTGTTCCTAAAATCAATGATTTTTACTCTTATCTCTCCATCCTGGCTCAATCCGAATTCACTCTCCAACCCCTTCAATTTTATCTCCAAAGTTCTGTTGATTTTGGAGTTTTATTTTTTTTAACTCTAAAGTCAACAAAACTTTTGTACGAAATTGAAGAGGTTGAGCTTCGGTGTGCCTGGGTGAAAGATTCACCGGGGGACTGCTATTTTTACGAACAGAATACCATGTCTTCCAAAATTCCAGTGGCACCGTAGTGCAATGAGGGCCGTTGTCAACAGAAAACATCCAATACAAAATAGAGTTATTGGAATGTCCCCACTCACTAATATATAACATTACTTGAATATGGAGTAATAAATGTTAATGGGATTCCAAGTATTTGATACTCTCTGTATTATATAAATTGTTTGTTTCGGTATACAATATTTGACTAAATTTATTTTAAATATAATTTATTTGAGAATTGAGGTCGAAATAAAAATAAAGTTTATTGTTTTAAAACTTCATCAAAAGTTTTATGAAACAAGAACTGACATGACTATATTATTTTATTAAATGAATAGTAAAAATAGGTAAAGAAAGTGAATGGCGTTTGACTATTTGAATACTAAACAGACAACTTAACTCGAGACCAAAAGAAGTACTATTGTGATGTGATCTCAGAAACATACACTAGTTTGTCTGTATGTCTGTGACAAACATGATGTCGAATTATAAGAGTTCTTCTAGCACAAGTCTACTTAAATAAAGGCATTCTTATCAGTGATGCTCAAAAACCGTCAGAGGCGAACGGTACATAATATAGCGTTAGTCCAAGAGTCTTCAATTGGGACTTAGAGATTATGACGCGTGTTGCAAATCTACCCACATGTAAAGATTAAATGGCATAAATTATCTATTGTTAGGGTAAAAAAATGATTTAACCCAATCCGTCTCTCATTCTATCGTCTTCAACCACCCAAAAAAACGGAGAAAGCAATTAGAGAAGATGGAATTATCGTGCATTTGAGCCAAGAAATGTGTACTTGCGGGAAATGGTCTAAAACTTCAAGGCCGGTTCAAAAAATTCAGGGGCCCTGTGATGTCTACAACATTTATAATATATTTCGTCAATTTTCACTTCTTCAAATCAAATGAAACAAATTTTAATCATCAAATAGTTTAAATCCTTGAAAATTGTATTGCATAATAATAGAATAAAATAAAATTTTAAAAAATCTCAACTAGATAAATTTAATAAATCATTTTTATATTACTCTGTAATACTTCCTCCATCCCACAAAAAAGTTCCTATTTTGAATAGTATTTAGTCAAATATTTACACGCTTTGATTACAAATTGTAAGAAAGGTATATTGAATTATGAAATAAATTTTATATAATTGGATTCATCTTAGGATCTAGTTTTGATATCTCAAATGTTTTTAGCATTTCTTTATTTAGATTATACTCCGTATTAAATAAAAGGTCAAAGTATGCAACAATTTGACCAATTTATGGTCAAAATGGGAATTTTTTTGTGAGACGAAGGGAGTAAAATATATTATAAATTTACTTAAAGTTAAAAGTTCATTTAACTTGACTCAAAAAAGTCAAACATGTACACGGATTCAGAGTATTAGTTAACTCTTTCTATATAAGTCTACCTTTCATCAACATGACTTTGGTTTCTAATCATTGTTTGTAATGTAAACCCTCGCCTATAGCCAAGATATAGAATGATGGGAGCTTCCTCGTTGCAAATATGAGGAAATGGTTGGAAGAAAATGTCCCTTCTGGGTTTGAAGATATTTATTTGGACACCAGAGCTCTGCAGATTGGGGTAAATTGCATATCGGCATTCACTTTGGTTGGGTGTAATGCCAAGCCGCCGGCCCTTCCTTGCGTTTCCTATTTGAACCAAAACAAAAGAAAAAGGTGTTTATTTTCACTCTAACACTCAAACTCTTCCAAATAAATAAACCAGTCAGAAATTCAAAAGACAGATCAAAATACCCTTCCAAATTTCAATCATTGCTTCAGGCAGCAGCATCAAGGAGTTGATTCAGTTCACTCTCTCTTCCGCGTGCCATAAAAATCTGCATTTTAGGAATCAAAGCAAAACAGATTCCTCAGTACAGCGGAAGATATCAAAGATTCAAAAGGATGAAAATCAAATCCAGGGCCAGAGTGAATTACAAGAGAGAAATTTGGTAGTTGCAGGAAAGCACATATAGATCCATCAAACTTGGGCAATCCAAGCTATCTGTGTTTAACAGACCAAAAAACAGACATGTTATGATGAAAACCCAGATGAGATTCCTGCTTATAATCACTACAATGTCAAAAAAGAAGTTAGTCTCAACAAATTCTTACTTCCTCTGCTCTGCTTGCAGTCATTATATCGTCACTGGGCGAGTGACGAATTCGATTCTCCAGATTTCCCTTCAGCAGCTGCGCATGAACTCTGAGGCAGTGAAGAGCAGACCTGAAAAACAAACAAGGAAAACGGTCACAGCATAGTGAGAGCACCAAGTGAGAGGCTTCTTCCATATCCGGATCTCCACGCTGGAGCTCTTCATCTTCTTCCCGGCGAACGCCGGCTCCTTGGACAGATCGAAGCTCTCCCCTTTCATCCTCAGCTCCTGAACACATCTCCCCACGCACCTGCCGTCGCTCCTCAGCCTCTGCAGCTGCTCGCACGTCTTCCAGAACCTGCAGATCTTAACATGTACGATAAAAGCAACGAATAGCGAAGTGCAAGCGAGTGCCGCCGAAGGGATCCACCCTTTCCGGCAGGCGCCGGGCGATTTGCCCTCATCCGAGTACGCCGTGAACAGTACCGTGAAGCAGATCGCGGAGAACACGAAGAAGGAGCAGCAGATCTGGAAGATCTCGCGCCGGAGGAAGTCGATCCGGGCCTCTTTTGCGGCGATTTTGCGGCCGAATATGCCCTCCTCTCTCTGCCAGAGCTTGAGGAGTAGGAGATGGCCCGGGCTTCGCGAGATCTCCATTAATGGGTGGTGTTGGATTGCTGCGAGGCACGATGTCTTCTGTTGATTCTCACCCTCTACTGGGATCTCAACAACGACGTGTGCATCTTTCATTTCTGCCATTGGCCAGGCTAAGAAAGAGATAAATATATGTACAGAAGCTGCGGATGATCTTTGAAACTAACTTCAATGTATAAATTAAATCTAAAAATGGAAAGATAAACGCGATGTGAAAATATAAATTAAGTTTGAATAGAACTAAAGAAATGAGAGCGCTGGGAACCAGAGAGATGGAATGTTGTGATCAGATAAGAAATTTGGTTTGATGGTGGAAATGGAGGGAGGGCATTTCTGGATATTTAAACTGGGAGGATTGCCTTGTTTTTGTAACGGTCATATTCAGGGAGCCCAACGGGAAAAATGCTAGGGTACACCTTTGGTTTACCCCATATGTCCCCCACCCCCTCCTTGTCCACTAAAAAAGGCAAAAAAAATTTAAAAAAATAAGTAAATAAAAATCAAATAAAAATGTGTGGTGGAGATGAGGTGGTGTACATTTGGGGTACACTTTTTGGTGTACCCCTAGCACACCTCAGCCCAACGGTCTTTGTTATTGAGTATTGAATACTCTCGTATTTTTTTCGGTGGTCAAAGTTTATAAACTTTAACTTCAAATTAGATAAAAATGATACTAGAAATTGATATCAAAATAGTTTTCTTATATTTATTGTATAAAATATTTTCAAAATATTATTTTATCTAATTAATATATAATATATATTTTATTAAATTATACATCAAAGATTGAAAATAGTTTACTAAAAAAGTCAAAACTGGACAAATACTCCAGAATGGAGGTAGTATAAGTCTATCTGATAAAATGTGAACGTTATGTCCTTGTCCTTGTCGTGTTACAACATCTTTAATAATTCTTCCTACGGCTAAACTCCACCATTGGTCCTTCAACATTATCAATTGTGCACGATTAGTCTTTCAAGTTTCAAAAGTCCATAAATAGTCCTTCAACTTTATGAGTTCTGCACCATTGGTCCTTCAAGTTTCAAAAGTTCATAAGTAGTCCTTTAGGTACACGTCAGCCCTCCATATGAAGTCCTTTTGACCGTAAATATTAAAAGTTAAACGAAATACTAGTTCCATATAATACGAGTAAATTCCATTAGGTACGACTACTCCGTATTATATGGAACTAGTATTCCATTTAGCTTTTAACATTTACTGTCAAAAGGACCTCATCTGGAGGGCTGAGGGCTGACGTGTACTTGAAGGACTATTTATGCACTTTTAAAACTTGAAGGACCAATCGTGCATAACTCATAAAGTTGAAGGACTATTTATGGACTTTTAAAACTTGAAGGACCAATCGTGCACAATTGATAAAGTTGAAGGACCAATGGTGGAGTTTTTTTTGTGATGGGCACATAAGTCATATACTCCCTTCGTCCATAAATTAGGTTCCCGTTGCGCGTTACCATGTTTGACAGAAGTTATTTTCAAATTATTTTATATGAAAATGCTATGAAATAAAAAAATAAAAATTACACATTTAAAAATTACATGAAAAGATCTACAAAACTAGAGGTGACATTACTATATCATTTTATCAAATAGGACATGAAAATAGGTCACTACAATGAATTAAGTTTGACTCTGTGAATAGTGAATAAGAACTTTATTGTTGGATGTATGAAGTATTTATTTAATTTTTTTCAAAAGAAATAAATCATCTTGATATTTTATAGTAAGTTTATTTTATCTACACAATATTTATCATACCAAATCAAAATAAGTTATTTTAAAATAAGTAATGTGAATTTATGAAGTATTTTTTAATTTAAAAAATATATACATGGCACAAAAAATGAGATTTAATAAAAAAAAATTAAAAATCATATTTTCTATTTATCTTTTTATAAAAAAATCAACCTAATTTTTTTCTTTTTCTTTTTTCCTCTTTTTCTTTTTTTCCCCTCTACTTTAATCATTTTCTCACTTTCCCTTTTCCACATCACCATTTCTCAACAATTCCTCTCACAATAAAATTGCTCTTAAGACTTCAACGTTATACTCTGTAATTAAGAGTAGAACTAAGATCCTCGTATTCTAAAAATTTTATCGTAATTTGTACACTACAGGTATCTACTTTCATTTTGTATTAGTATGATGCAGTGTGATAGTTTACATAGAGAAAATCCTTGTACAAAACTTTTTAATCGAACTAGTTTTTTGTGCACTGTGAATCGTCAAAATATTAGTTTGAGTGCTTAAGTTTGAGAAGCTGCGGATGATCTTTGAAACTAACTTAAATTTATAAATTAAATCTAAAAATGGAAAGATAATCACGATGTGAAAATATAAATTAAGTTTGAATAGAATTAAAGAATTGAGAGCGCTGGAAACCAGAGAGATGGAATGTTGTGATCAGATAATAAATTTGGTTTGATGGTGGAAATGGAGGGAGGGCATTTCTGGATATTTAAACTGGGAGAATTGCCATGTTTTCGTAACGGTTATATTTAGCGAGCCCAACGGTCTTTGTTATTGAATACTCCCTCTCGTCTTAGTATATGTCCACCTTTAATTTTTTTCAGTCAAAATTTATAAATTTTAACCTCAAATTAAATAAAAATGATACTAGAAATTGATATAAAAATAGTTTTATTATATTTATTGTATAAAATATTTTCAAAATATTATTTTATCTAATTAATATACAATATATATATTCAATTTAATTATAGGTCAAAGATTAAAAATAGTTGAATAAAAAACGTCAAAATTGGACAAATACGCCACGAACCTATAAATCTATGTGATAAAATCGGAGGTAGTATAAGTCTATCTGATAAAATGCACAGCGAACGTTATGTCCTCGTCCTTGTCCATGTTACAACATCTTTAATAATTCTTTACACTTTCTCTTCTTTTTAGTGATGGGCCCATAAGTCATATACTCCATTCGTCTATAAATTAAGTTCCCGTTGCACGTTACCATATTTGACAGAAGTTAAGTGTCAAAACCTGTCAAAAACCGAACCCCACTTTAATACAACATAGACGTTAAGTGTGTTCCAACATATTGATGGGGTCACTGCTGCACAATTCGTTTCGTATCGTCAACACATTTGCAATCTTTCACATAGACGTTAAGTGTGTTCCAACATATTGACGATTTATTAGTACGACACGTTAGTATCACTTTATCTCTCAATCAGACTACAACGATGCGTTCAACGATAAGCAATTAAGTCACTAGTCCCTTCATAACTAGGTATCCGTTCATTCAACAAGGTTGAGCTATCTATAGCTTCTAGCAAGTAGGTTCTTTGACTGAACAAGTTGTCAGTACGTGGCAAAGGGTAGCGATTCTTGATCATCAGTTTAAAATCTTGCTAGTCGATGCAGTGTCTCATCGATTCTTTCTTTACGTACTCTCTCAAGGAGAAAACACTTGGTCAGATGATTCCTTGTCAAGCAATCCTTACAGTTGAGCTTTCAATCTTAGTGAAAGATCATTTAATATGGAGTTATGAATATCAGTCTTTTCTAGGAACATGATTGATAAAAAATTCAATTTCTCTGGTAGATAGAATATCAGGAAGTTCATCAGGGAACATGTTGGAGAAATAGACTTCACACTTTTTACAGATTAAACGTTTTTGCGTGTATATTCGAGATGAATTCGGTCGATTTAGAAATTAACTTTTCTTTCACCTCTATGAGGTTACCATCATCGGTCGGTCTTTAGTTGAAGAATTTTTCGTCTATAGTCAACAATGACGTTCAGTCAGTCAATTCATACTAAAGATAATGTCAGTTTCCTTGTATGACATTTCAACGAGGATTTGCAAATAAATTGTCGTTTAACAGACGATTTCGATTCACATGATGTAATCGCATACTGTGTCCTAATGGGTTAGACAATAGCATGAGATACTCTATATAATAGAGTTTATTAATTCTAAAGGTTCGCATTTTAATCAATGATGGGATTGTGTTGAGTCCACATGAGGATCTTCGACATCGGATTGACAGATGTAGTTCGTAAGATTAACATTAAACATTTTTCAGGGTCGTCTCATTTCCATGCGCTTTTGCGATGCAGATAAATTTTAATTTTTGTGATGCGATAAGCACGTTGGTAACGGATCAAAGAGTAATACACTTTCGTTTATTCTTTTTCGTCTCTTGCCGAGTATGAAAGTTTGATTTGAATCGACACTCGATATGATTTCATTACTAACAATTATCATCTAATGAGAATTTAATACAGTCAAGATTTATTAAATAAATTCTTATTACCTTCCCATCACATCCATCCTGAAAATCTCGCCTGCGTCTGCTGCTAGGATCATGTCACATTATATTTTCTATTTACCTGTGTGCAGCAAATAAAACATATTATACGCTCAACGGTGAAGCTGCGTAAGGATATTTAATGCATCGAATATCCACATAAATTGAATCTCAATTCATAATTAAATCATTTGATATCATACACATAATATTCAATTCAGATATTCAATATTCAATGTTCATATCAGATCATTTAATATGAACACATGTTATTTAATTCAGATATTCAATATTCATTATTTCAACAGTGCTATTAAATTATTCTTAATTTAAGGCCAAATCATTTTCATAACAAGGTTCTTAAACTATTCTTAGTCTAAGAAAATATTTCTAATCGGGCTCTTAAACTGTAATTAGTTTAAGGCAGAACACAAGAATTAATGATCCATTCTACGAGTCTTATGGATTACGCTCTAAACCGAGCAGTGGACTACTCACTGTCGGGTGGGTGATATCTCCAAACAAGTAGATACTCAAGTTTGGGTGTTTGACTTTGACTTTATCAGTAATACTTTTTCTAACAATGTATTTTTGGGTGTTTGACTTTGACAGAATAAAAATTGATTTGATTAATCTTTTATTTAAAATATTCTCATATTCAATTCATATTATTTATTTAATGATTGATTTCAACAAATCATCTCAAAAGTTCACATCATAGGTCAAATTCTTTATTTATTCTTGATTTGGGTATGTACTTTGATTCCCAATCAAGATCACACAAACAATTAACATATTAGATTTATCTGTATGAGATTTATCATATTGTGATATTGAATATCAAAACATATTTGATTTTGGCCCAAAGCTCCACAATAATTTATATTAATCAAAATAAATTTGTTTAATTGAATAATAATTCAATAATAATTTTAGGATGTGTTTTGGGCACTACATTTACCGTGGCGGGCTGAGAATTTTGGTGCGAAGAGCGAAGAAAGGGAAATTCTGAGTGGCGGTAAGCTGAAAAATTAGAAACAAAGTAGGTTATTGAGTGAATCCTTCTTTTCAATTAAAATAAAATAAAAAAAGAAATTACCGTAAGAACAAACTACATCTAGTTTTGAAGATTACAGAGTAAAAAATGTTTACGAAAAAATTAAAGCAAAATATCCTCCGTATAGGTGGGCAGTGACAGGCTTGCCAGTTTTAAAATTGAAAACTTTGTTGATGTCCTTAAAAATATTTTTAATAAAATGTGTCATTAAAAACTTATAAGGATATTTCATAAATAACGTGTCCTTAAAAATGAAAACTTAACTGAATACATAGGTACATGTGTGCAAAAAACATAGCTACAACCTAGACCTATTGACTAAGTCTAAGCCCATTTGTATACAATATACGCCAACAGAACACAAAGCACATAGTATAGTTCTTAAAAATAGGTTCTTTGCATAGAAGACATGTAATTCCAAACATTAGGTTAAACATTTGTAAAATTTGATAACAACACGGGGCGAGAGAAACACATATTGAGTAGCATACGAGAATTTGGTTTAATTAGTGGGACAACCAAACCCTTTTACTTGTGAAATGGACACTTCTCAACTCTTGAACTTGATACTTGTGTTCCTTTCAAAAGCCCACCGAAAAGTTCTGTTGGGTCATAATATATCTCAATTTCTTCCACCCTCAAAGATTCATCAACCTGCAGTAAGAATCATATAAAGAGTGTATCCCGACACTTTAAAATATATAATATAAATACGGAGTGTGATGGAAAGACATGCGTGCCAAATCTAATGATTCAAAACCTTCTAAAGTCGTTACAAACTTATGAGCAATATGATTGTTAAGGAAAGTAATAAATAATATGTCATTAGTAATTAGAGACTAATTAATGTTTATTGTCATGTTTCTAGTAACCCAAATATTTAATCCTTGTCTAAATAATACTATGTCATTAGTAACCTGAATTTATTGTCTTAGGTTTTAACTTGAGACTAGTAAGTGAAACTAGTAACAAGAATTTGGAACCGAGAACTTGGTATTTGAGTCTAAAGTCTTATAAATCAAGTGTGAAGTTGGAGACCAGAGCATAAAATCAAAAGTTCATTTAACCAAAAGTATTACTTGAAAATAACATGTCATTATCTATATACTCCGTAGTTGGATAAAATCGATAGTAGAAAATAATTCCACTTCCCATAAATAGAGTGCAATAATAATGCCTTCAAAAAATGGAGTGAAATAAGAGAAGATATACTTAAGTGAATTTGATTATTTTATGTTTTTAATAATCCTAGAAAACCATTATATCTAACTTTTTCTCAACCAAATAACTTGTAATCTCCATTTATCACTTAATTTTATTCTCATTTTTTCTATTTCTCTTCTGTGTCCCAAATAATTCTCCAAGATTTCGTCTCTTTCTATGAGACAGATCAGATCTCTGCTCAATTCTTTTAGCAAAATCTTCTTACAAATTTACTTATATGCTTTTGTTTTTTACTTAATAAAACAAAAAAATTTCGCAAAAAAAAAAAAAAACAAAAAAAGCAAAAAACCCAAAAAGCTGAAAATCAAAACCGAAAAACCCCATAAAAACCAGGGAAAAAAGTCAGAGGGTGATATTTCAATGAATAAAAAAACAGGAAAAAATAAAAAAAGAAAAAAACAGCAAAAAAATGTAAAAAAAGTTGAAAGGGTTTGAAGAAGTGGGGAGAAAGCAAAATTGAAAAAAATACAAAAATTGCATCAATTGCAAACATTCTACTTCAACAAAAATTGAAAAAACCACAAAATTTTTTTAACATCAATTTCAAACATTTATTTTAACAAACAACAAAAAATACAGAAAAAAAATCCTTGCATCAATTTCGAACTTTCTAATTCAACAAACAAAAAATTACAGAAAAAAAATTCTTTTACATCAATTTCAAAGATTCAATTTTAACAAATAGCAAATAAAAACAGAAAAATAGCAAAAAATAAATGACAAAAAGAAAACTGGAAAAAAGAAAAAACCCAGAAAAAAAAAAGAGAAAAAACACATACTTTCTTTAATTGGCAAAAAAAGTAAAAAACCTTACAGGAGATGAAGATCGGCCATGGCAGATGATGATTTGAGATCCAAAGAAGAAGAAAAGAAGAAGAAGAAGAAGAAAAAGAAAAAGAAGAAGAAGAACCGTGGATGGGAGGAGGCCAGGGAGAGCTGCGCTGGAGTGGAAGAAAGAAAAAAAACGGAAGAGAAGAAAAGAGAAGGGCAGGGAAGGAAGAAGTAAATTTTACCTCAGTTACCCGCACAATCAGCGGACGGATATATTCCACTGTTAAGCGGTTACTTTACCTTCCCTCACCTCCATTTACCTACCTCTATTTCCTCCCCCAAACAAGGTAAATTTTAATCTTACCTTATTCTACCTCTCCCTCCCTCCATCCAAACACAGTGTTAGTGTGGAGACATTGCCAGCTTGGAAACTCTAGGACTAGTTTACTAGGACTTTAAACAAATCACAATGAGGTTTGATCTGAAGGGAAATCCATATATTTATATTGAAAGGGATGATAAACAAGAGACTGAAGGTGGTGGAAAAAACACCAACAACCAAGGTGTTTAGTAATTCCATCCAGTTCTGCCTTCTACAAGTAACCGTAGAGGTGTAAAAAATCATTGATGTCATGCAATGTGAAGGACAACAACGGGATAATGATGAGGAAAAAGAACTGGAAGTCTTGAAAAATGATTACAATATGGTCTTTAAAGAGTCAACAGATACAAAAGGGCTATACTGTGTGCTCTTGATGGTACAGATAAGGGAGCAGGCTTGCAAAGTGAGTTCAGATCGTTGTTGGAAGAAACCACAAAATAGCTTCCTTTCACGGGAGTGTTTGATCCTAGTGCTCTATATATTCCCTTAACCATCCTTAACGAACAAACGCAAAGTGTGCAGAACAAAATTAAAGCTGATAAACATAGATTAGAAAGAGCATTGAGTAATGGGGGTTGGGCATGTTTGGAACTTTAGCCATATAATCAAGCAGCAATCAGGCCGAAATAGAAGTAGCAACAAACTGTCTCCCAAATACTTTGGCCCATTTCAAGTTTCTCACATTCATGTATACATGATATCTTCCATGTATCACAACTCAAGCCATTCAAAGGCACTTTACCTACTCCAGGAGATATTCTTGACATAAGAATACAGAAGGTGCAAAACAAAGCTCAAAAAAATTATTTGGTGCATTGAGAAGGATATAGCCCCTTGAAGTCACCGGGAACCTGATGTTGATTTTCAAGCTAGATACCTTGATTATCCAATCAATAACTAGACTTGAGGACAAGTCTCTTTGAAGGAGGGAAGCAATGATATGGCTAAAGTGACGTGGATTCATTAGCGATCATATAATGAATATTAGTTAGCAGTTACTTATTTTTGTTAAGCAGCATATTTACTTGTATAAATACAACACTATATGTATAAGGAAGGCTTAAGATTGAATACAATACTCATTTCCCAATCCCTATCTTCTATTACTCTTATCCTTCCCAAATAAGCCTCTCTGATTGCGTCTTGTTCTCTAAGACGAATTAGATCTACTCAATTCTTTTAGCAAGATCCTCTTGCTATAACACCTCCCTTACATAATCTCTATTTATTTTACCCCATGGAACACCATCAAGAAATGTGAGTCTTTTTTAATTAATCTCTGTCAAGAAAATTTGATATCATTTTAAAAGTTAGCTAAAATTAGTAGGATTAAATTAAACAAGAAGAGGCCAACTTAAAAAAAGGAACAAACAAACATACCTTCATGATTCCAACCCCATAAAATTGAAGCAACTCTCCAGTAGGGGAATGACCTTTGAAAGATCTTCGAAATAACCCCAATGCCTGAACTTGAAAGCAACCACAGGGGGCCCTGAGTATACAGCACTGACCTCCCACGCAAACCCGCGAGGGAACGCCGATCGAAATGCATCATGAGATGACTCAAAACTCTCCTCCTCTGCCTTGTAGAACTTTAACTGTTCTGGCAATGAAGTCTGCAGCAATGCATTGTAACTCCCAACCTCTAACAATTCTTCAGCTGACAATCCCTCTCTCCCTATAATGTTAGTAGCCAATAAATAATAATATATTACTAATAATAATAATAATAAGAACAATAACAATAATAATAATAATAGTAATTGTTAAGCAGTAACAATTGTTAATAAAAATAACATTTATGGTAGTATTTGACTATGATACTGCTTCCTTATTAGGGGATGGTTCATATCTATGTTAGGAATTTTCCCTATATAAACACTATTGTATTCTTCATAATTCCTTGAATAATTTGAATATTCCAATATTTAAACATGATATCAGAGCCTATGGTTCTTCTTCTCTCCACTCTTTAACTGTAATAAAAAAATTTGGCTAGAGTTCTTGCCGATTTGGATGATAGTAATTATCCAAACTGGTCTGCCACTATTCAAGCGAATCTGATGGAACATTGTCTAATGGGTTATGTTGAAAACACGGAGGCACCACCTCTAGCATTAGTTCTTGATGAAAAATCACCAGCCTCAAACAAATATTTTTCTTGTGGTCATGAATGTTAGCCTTAGTTTTCTAAGCCTCATGTTTTGATGATAAAAAACAATATAAAAGCTAAACGTTTGCTTAAGTATTTCAGGTATAACAAGAATCCATTAAGATTCGATTCTCAAGAATGAAGTTGAAACACGAAAAGAACCAGTCTAAATTAGTGTGTCTTTACTTTACGCTTTTATTTCTGCATTTTATCTATTTCTTCCGCATTTGCCAACACCAATTTATTAAACTCTGAAAATTTTTTAAACGCCTTATTCACCCCCCAAGGCATGGGCACACCGACTAACAATGAAGTTCAATCCCGCCTATGAATCATGGTTCATTTTTTATTGTTGATTTTTAAACAATACTGATCAAAGTTATGCAAACCTTTGTATTTTCCTGAGTTTTATATTTTTATATCAATTAGTTTTCTAAACCTATTAGGCTAAGTGTCATATATACTCCATTTTACAGTGTGAGTAATGTTAGTTCCATTTTATTGGCATTATTTTTTTGACTGACAAATAGACTTTTTTAGATTTATTGGCAGTCGTTTTGGTATAGAGTTGGAATCCTAGCGTGCGCAGAAGAAGAAAAAGGAAAGAGTTTGAAGTCGAAATTATCTTCCCATTTGGTCTTATTGTTGGGATCGAACTTCTAATCCTACTAAGCTAGGGTGCTTTGCCTATATGCTGGGAGAAAACACAAGAGAAAACATTGATGAGAGAGGTAGGTACACAAGGAGTACTTTTATTGCCGATTGTAGGTTGTCCAATTAAAAGGGAATAAATAGAGCATTATATTGGATTGTTGCGCTATAGCCACTGGGACAGTTGGTAGAAACTAACCACTTGAATAAACGTATTTGACGAGGATTACCGGAGGTACGTGTGTGACACCAAAGGCATAGAGTGCAACGAAACGAACCAGTCGTGCCATCTGTAAGTTTTGTACAAGCTAAGGTTCAGATTTGTGAAGTTGATTATGGAACTAGGGTAGCACACACATCCTTGAAGTAAAACTTGAAGAAGGTGTAACTAGTTATGGAAGTTAGACATGAACATAGTTTATCGTTAAGTCATTCGATAGTATATTTAGGCAATAAATTTGATGGAATCTATTGTGATTGAAGTTGTAATATTTACAATGATTTAGTGGAAAAGTTGTTACACGGGCATGGGCCCCGCAGACGTATAAGATTTTGCTTCGAATTGCATAAACAATTCTGGTACAACATTTATTGTTTTTACTTTATATTCTACGTGTGTGCATGTGACGGAGAAGGTGTAATAGCACAGTGTCTGTCATTTGTTTCCGTGGTAAGTGCTACAACATCTTCTGCAACAACCATTTTGATTGATCTATTAGACTTCTCTTAGGATACTTAAGTAAACCACTCTTCCAAGCAACTAAAACTAGACACAAGGCTCTTGCCCGCCAAGTAAACTTCGCTGCCCGGATGGGTGTAACGCATCAATCCGCTTGTGGGTCACTGTTTGGGTATGGGGTCTTGTGTGGGGGTGAGTCATAGGATAAATACATTAGGTTCGTTACATTAATAATTACATCCCAGCTCGGTCTTGTTTTAGTACATCGAAACCCAACCCGACTTAGGTCAGGTTAATATTTGATTTTGTCGAGTTGGCTTTTGATATTTATTTTTTTTATTCAATTTCGATTTAAGATTCGGTCAGGTCGGTTACGGTCAAATTCAGGTTTGAATACTAAAAAATGCATTCATGATTAAATTCATATAAAAATACATTAGAAAATTAAAACTTTATAGATTGCATAAAAGTTGATACAACAACAACAACAACAACCCAGTTGGATCCCACTACAGTAGGGTCTGGGGAGGGTGTGTGTACGCAGACCTTGCCCCTACTTGGAAGTAGGGAGGCTGTTCCCCCGGCTCAATCTGCACAAAAAATATGATAGGGTATACAGTATAGCATTACATAAAAGTTAATATATTAGGAAAAATCATTATAACCGAATGACCCTAAAAAATTTAGAGCAATGCTACATTCACAAACAGGATACTCACAAACTTCACAAACTTACTATTATGGTTTAAATTTTCATTTTAAATTTATTTTAGACTATTTAATTTTATTTATTGAAGTTCACAAATAGTAAGGTTGTGAAGTTTGTGACCATTTGGTTTGTGAACCAAGCATTTTCCAAAAATTTAAATAGTAAACGTTTAACTGAATGACCCCAAAAAATTAAATAGTAAATTTTTAACTAATAATACATGAAGTACAAAGAAAATAAATAGAGATATTAGGAAGTATAATTAAATTAGGATACTTCTTTCCTTTCCTACTAGGATTATTCTTTCCTTTCCTACTTGTATTTTGATTACTCTTGTATTCCCTATATATAGGGCCATATCTCTCAAAATTCAATAAGACAAGTTATTATCAAATTGTATCATGGTATCAGAGCTAAGGCTCTCAAAAACCTAGCCTCGCTTTTTTTATTGGGACCGCCGCCCACCATGGCAGCCCCGTCGGATCCTTTGGCTTCTTTACCCTCCGGAGTAAAACTTTTGCTTCGGAGTCTACACAACTTAATCCCAGAAAAACTCACCGAAACAAATTATCCGGCATGGTCTCTCAATGTCCAGACAGCTCTTTCAGCTAAAATCCTCCTTGGATGGATTGATGGTCATGAAGCAGCTCCGGCGCCAACTATCTCCAAAAACGATAAAACCGTCCCTAATCCAGAGTATACCTCCTACCTCCTGGACCATCGTTGACACACAGATCCGCGCCTGCCTCCTAGCGGTCATCAGTCCCTCCGTTCACAAACATGCTCGCGGCTTCACCACATCTGCTGCCCTCTGGGATGCTTTGGCCGCACGGTACAATTCCATGTCCACCGCTCATATTTATCAGCTTCGGGACAAACTCCACACTCTTCGTAAAGGTACCAAAACTATGACACAATACCTTGATGATGTGGCAACTATTCTCTCGGATCTCGATGCCTTGAAAGAAGAGATCCCTGAACGTGATGTGGTGAATGCTGTTATTCGTGGTCTTCCCACCGAATACTCATCCTTTAAGCAAAACATTCGCATGAACAATACCAATATTTCGTTAAATCAGCTTTCTGGATGGCT